CAAGTTGTTATCCTTCAATCTTAGTTGTGGAGGGCGCAGCTAGCTCAGCTCCAAGTCCCGTTGCCAGCCGGCTGCCCTTTGGAAGCTTGTGGCCGCTCAGCTCAAGGTGCTGTGTTCATTCTTAGTTGCGGGGTCACAGCCCACCATCCCATGCGGGAGTCGAACCAGAAACCTTGTTGCTACGAGCGCAAGCTCTAACCACTGAGCTATTCGGCTGCCTGTTGGCGGCTCAGCTTCAACTCAGCTTGGGCGCAGCTCACTGGCCCATGTGGGAATCGAACCAGTGACTCTGTTTCTCAGACCTCACGCTCTTAACCAACTGAGCCACTTGGCCGGCCCAAGAAAGCATTCTTATTTGTGTTCCAGGAGTTGGTTAAAATGGGAGGTGTATTAGTTTGCTTTGTTACCATAACAAAGTACCACAGACTGGGTAGCTTAATTAAACAACAGAATTTTTGTCAAAATTCTGGAGGCTATATGTCCAAGATTAAGGTGTTGGCAGAGCTGTTTTCTGCTGAGCCCTCCTTGGCTTGTAGGTGGCCATCTTCTCTTTATGTCTTACCATGGTCTTCCCTTTGCATGTGCCTGCGTTCTAATCTTCATATTGGATGAAGGCTCCCTGGTATGACCTCGTTTTACCTTAATTATGTTTTTAAGACCCTGTCTCCAAATACAGTCAGAATCTGAGGTACTGGGGGTTAGGACATCAACAAATGAATTTTGGCAGACACAATTCAGCCCATGTCAGGGAACATCTCATCAACTTCTATAGGTCATCAGAAAACTGTCTACACATGCTGTCTTTCTTTTATTTTTAGGTATGAAACTATTTGTAAACTCCTGAAGGCAGAAGCAATGGCTTTTCCTTTTGAATTTCTTATAAAATTTAGTCACCCAATTAGTATTTTCTGATATAAGAAGCTAAGGGAAAGATATCTGTGGAAAACTTAGACTTTTAAAATTTGAAGACGCCGTTGTCTGGAATCAAAGCACAAGTGGTGGCCTTGTAGTGGTTTCTTGCTTCCTGTTNCTTCAGTCTCCCAATCTTCTGAGAGAGGAGGAGCCAGGTGACTGCTGCTAACTGCCATTTCCCCACCCTTTGGGCCAAAGGAAACTGGAGAATTAAGGCCTAATAGCCAGGGTGCTCCAGCCAGAATCACAGGGAGGTCCATCCGTTTTATACAATTAAGCAGACAATAGGAGTTAAGACTTAGCCTGTTGGAATACTGTCCTAGGAGCTTTATATTCCTGAGAAACTATTCACTGGTTTCTTTTGTTCTTTTCTACTTTCTTTGTGATCCTTACTAGGGATAGGCCACTTCGTTTGGGTCACCATGGTTTTCGGAGCACACTTCACAATGACGCTGGGCCCAGTTTGACCTGTATGTAGAAGCGAGTCAATGCAAGCATCTTCAGATATTCCATGTCCACACCCTCCTCCTTGCAGAGCCAGTCATCTTTTGTTTTGGTATAGGTCCTGACATCTGGAGTAACAGACTTTGTTCTTCATTGTTTTTTTTGGATTACACAAAGCTCCCTTAGGTAGGAGGGAGTCAGGGTTTCATTCATGGTAGCAGTGACCCTTAAAAATCAGTTTATTCAAATGCGCCTAAAGGACTTGTTTGCTAAATTAAGGACAGAAATGCCTCTGGCCTTTAGAGAGAAATGATTAGAGACCCTTTGGAGTCGGGAAAGAATTTCTCAATTTTCTCTTTCATTTGCCAGAATGTACCAGGGTATGGGATTAATTTGCACTTCTGTTTATACATTTATTTAACAAATATAGGGTACCTATTATATGTTAGAAAATCAACCCCTAGATTATCTTGGTAGAGAAAAGAGAAGTCCTGGAGAGACAGTCGAGAGTTATTCCCAGGAATATAGCTAGAAATTTTCCAGGATCAATCGGTCAAGTTGTTTGGGACCACTAGGTGGCGATATTACATCATGAAAATGACATCCTTCAAAGACTGGAGGTCTGGTTATTTCTGAGGCCAGTGCCTACACAGCCAAAGAGATTTTTTTTGTGAGTAAATGGAGAAAAATCCACACTTCACCATTTATATATATGATCCAATTTAAGGGGACTCGGAGCTCCTGGAAGGATGGGGCTGTTTCTACTGTTGTCATGGTTACAGCCCTAGCATGTAGTAAGCCCTCAATCAATTCTTGACAAATGAATGAATTAGTTTTTAAACAGTTTAGATCAGTGGTTNATTTATTTTTAGCTGAGCCATCCTGCCACCTGTTGGCAGCTCAGCAGCAGCTCAGCTTGGGCTGGGAATCGAACCGCTAG